AGAAGACCGGGAATCTGGGGTGTGGGTACATAGGCTCCTACTGGCGGTCTGCAGGCACTAGTCCTGGTCCCCTGGTCCTGTTGGTGGAAGAGAAGACTAGGAATCTGGGATGCATGGCTTCCACCAGAGGGGAGGCTCTCTGGCAGTCCCCAGGCACTGGAAGGCAGGACCAGATACAGGACCTGGTTTACTGGTCCCATTGGTGGAAAAGAAAACCAGGAATTTGGGGTGAGTGGCTCCTGCCAGGAGGGGAGGCTATCGGTTCCTATATTTCTAATATCAGCATCATGTGACTTTATGCATTGAAATTCATATTCAAACTATAATGAAACATTTCCCCACTCTGGTAAGTAGGACTTCAAGACCTATAGAAACTATACTTTCTTTCAAAGTCAGAAAGCAAATTTCCCCAAGTGCATTTTGGGAGTGGTCACAAAATGCATCACAGTTCCATGTCAACAATCCAATATGGTTTGGATCTCAAATGCACCTCAACAGCTCTTGTATAGAAGACTTGGGTGTTCAGTGTAGTAATGGATCCCTAGAGGACATTTGGTGTACCCTTGACTTCCTAGATTCTTGCAATTCCACTTGTGTCCATTCTTCATCCCCGCTGTCCCCCCTGTTCAACCTCCGTCTGCAAGAGAGGACTGTCTCTAAATTCTGCTAAGCAGCTTGACTAACTCTAAGACATTGTTTAGTTATTTGCTAGGGAATCTTTTGGTGTCTTCAGCAAATCTGTGGTCTGTAGCAAAAGGCACCCAATTCTATAGCTTTATGGGGTCATGTTTTTCCTTCAGGCGTCTCAATGTCAGAGACAATGCAAATAGTTGGTTCGGGTCCCACTCTCCCCATCCTGGCCAGCACAGGAAGTCTTAGCAGGAATTCAGCAGCAGCTCTCCAGCCACTGTCAATGCCCATCTGGCCATTGTTCTGTCGGAGAGTGACCTAACCATGGAGAGTGCTTTCTAGGGACATGTCTGTTGATATAAACCAGTTTTCGGACAAAACTCAAGCTCTGGGAGTCACAAAGCTTGGGCACTAGGCTTGGCCAGTCATCTCTATATGCCAACTAAAGAGACGAGTAACTGTGAGGAAGTTTAGACGGTGGAAGAATTGGGGTGAGGGTAGAACTGATCAAGAAACTCGGTCAGGGTGGGTTCTGGTTGGTCATTGCCCCAGGTCCGGTTCACTAAGGTGGCCTGAAGAAGCCCTTGTTGCTTGAGGTAGACAATTTGATTCCTATAAGATAATCCGCCCTGTTCCAGGATGCAGTGTGGCCATTGTAGACAATTGCTCTCATCTCAGGGTGTCATCTGCCTTGACTTGCTCTGCTGTTTTCTCAACCAAAGGTGACTGCACGTTTAGGACAACGACTTAAGGCTATGAGGTGCCTGTAGGGATCTGAACCAGGGCATTGTAAAATTTGACAGCAAGATGCGCCAGTTCCTCTTATCACTATGCCTTTAATCTTAAGAATGGACGTGATAGGTGTGAAAGGAGATAGGTGTGAAAGGCAGACGCCAGGTGTAGTGAGCAATGCCTTTAATCTGAAGCGGAGGCAGCTGCCTGGCCTATATATCAAGTTCCAGTCCAGTCAGGACTACATAGTGAGACCTTATCTCAAACAGACAGACAGACAGACGCCCATAGAAATGTCAGGGTTTTTACCTTGCTACCTTGTAGACTTGAGAGAGAGAGGGAGGGAGGGAGAGAGAGAGAGAGAGAGAGAGAGAGAGAGAGAGAGAGAGAGAGAGAGAGAGAGAGAGAGAGAGAGAATGCATCCTCCACAGTGCACGTGTGGCAGTCAGAGGTGACAGGACGACTGTGGGAATCAGTTCTCTCTTTCTTCCAGGTGGAGCTTTACTTATCTCATGTTGGGCAAGCATGTTTACCTGCTAAGCCATCTCACAAGCCCTCAATGGGGTCGAGCAAAAGCAGTTTCTAAGTGGCTGTCCTAGGACCACCTCTACAGTTAGTTTCCTGGAAGCACAGAGGCTGAATGGAATTGATACTCCATTTTTTTTTGACCAAAAGAAAGTAAAGCAAGATAAAGTTGGAAAACAGCCAAGTAAGAATGTGTCTCAACACTTAAGAAAGTGCTCAACATCCTTAGCCATCAGGGAAATGCAAATGAAAACAACTCTGAGATACCATCTTACTCCTGTCAGAATGGCTAAAATAAAAAACCACCGTAGACAATTTATGCTGTAGAGGATGTGGAGAGAGGGGAACAGTCCTTCACTGCTGGTGGGAGTGCCAACTCATACAGCCACTTTGGAAAGCAGTATGGAGATTCCTCAGGAAAATGGGAATTAATCTACCACTAGACCCAGCAATTCCACTCTTAGGCATTTATCCAAATGAGGCAGGTTCATACAACAAGGGCATCTGCTCCACTATGTTCATAGCAGCATTGTTTGTAATAGCCAGAACCTGGAAGCAACCTAGATGCCCCTCAACTGAAGAGTGGATAGAGAAAATATGATACATTTGCACAATGGAGTATTACTCAGCAGAAAAAAACAATGGAGTCTTGAAATTCGCAGGTAAATGGATAGCACTGGAAGAAACCATCCTGAGTGAGGTAACCCAGTCACAAAAAGACAAACATGGTATGTACTCACTCATATATGGATTTTAGACATGGATCAGGATAGTGCCAGTCTGCACTTCCACTGATAGAGAGTCTGGGAAACAGGAAAGAACCTAAAAGATATGCATATATGCATAGTACCCAAGAGAAGAGGATGGAGACAAGATCCCCTGAATGGATGGGGAACACGGCGAGGGGTGGGGGGGAGTGGGACCTGGGAAGAAGAGAGGGGTGAAGAGGAAGAGAGTTGGTCATGGGGGAACAGGAAGTTGAGGGGGTGGGGGTAGAATAGGGGGAAGAGGGAATCATAGGATCGAATACAGATCAGGCACCAGAGCGACCTCGAGTGATCTAAAGGGATAACACCAATTGGCAAGCTAAGCAATAGTGGAGAGACCACCTCGAATGCCCATTCCTGATAATGAACTTGATGTCTATAATCATCCGGGAGCCTTCATCCTGTGACTGTTGGAAGCAGAGGCAAACACACAACTAATCACTGAACTGAACCGAAGGAACCCAGTGACAGAGAGGAGCAATGAGCAAATTGGCAAAGAATGGGCTGGCAAAACCAGCAGAGACAGCTGATCTGAACAGGGGAGAGCTCTTGGACCCCAGACCAACAGCGGGGAGGCCAGCATGGGACTGATCCGGAACCCCCGAATGTGAGTGTCAGCGAGAAGGCCTGGGCAACCTATGGGGCCCTGAGCTGTGGATCAGTGTCTATCCCTGGAATACAAACAGTCATCGTGTGCCTAGAGCACAAAGAGGGATGCTCTCTCAGCCTGTACTCTTAGGGGAGTGCCTCACCCTACCCAGAGTGAAATGACAGACTCTAGATATCCCCTATGTGGAAGGAATTGGCAATAGGGTGGGAGGGTGGGAGGGAAGGGGAGTGTGGGAGGAGGGGAGGGAGAGGGAACTGGGATTGACATGTAAAACAAGCTATTTAAAATTAAAATAAAAAAATTAAAAAAAGAATGTGTCTCAATGTCTGGTCTGAGCTGGAACCCACTGAGACTCACAAAGGTAACCACCAAGAAGGGCCTTAGGGAAGAGCCTGCCTTCTACACAACCCTGCGTCTGTTGGGCACAGACCTGTCCCAGTGCAGGGCACACAGCCTGGCCTGTTCCTTCATCCTTCTGAGAAACTGTCTTAGGATAAAAGGCAGCCTACCGCCTCAAGGGACTGTCTCAGAGACAAGGCTGGCCTTTGGCCCAGTTTCTTGGGAAACAATATTTCAGGCTGAAAGATGTTTTAATTTACTGTAAATGCCTGAAGAGATTTTAATTCACTTAATCCACTGGGACTGCATTTGGCATGGGGACAATGATCCTGTGGCATGGACGCCAAGAGGTCTGTGATTGTCTGGATTTCATGTGTCAGCGGTTATTGGCACAGTCAGAGAGTCAGCTGAAAGCTGGAGAACTTGGGGTGTAAGCACGAAGCTTATGGTTTTTACTCAGATGCTCTGGGTAAGTGATGGGGCGAAGAAGAAGAGTGCAGGGCAGCTCAGAGCATACTCCATTGGCATCAGACAAATGTGGATGAGAATCCTTGAAATGACTCTTCATGAGAGCGTGACCCTGGGCAAATGACACTTGAGTCTCAGTCTCCTCTCCTGTTAAACAGAAAAGATGTGTATTTTCATCATAGGTTGATATGAGGATTAAGTGAGTTAATCCACGGAAAAATCTTGTTATTCTTTTGCATCTGTTGACTACCAAGAAGACAAACTATTGGAAATCAGTAGGATCTATAGGAGAGGGAGAGTAGGTCTGAGAGAACAGAATGGCTTTCTGATCCTACCACTCCCTAGGTATGTCACTGTGGACAACTTCCTTGTCTCTGGGCCCAGCTGTCCTCATGTACCATGAAGGAGTCATATACCCTTCATTGCAGAATTCTGGTTAGCTCAGATCGTGATCCACAGTTAGCATCCAGAGAGTGCCAGTTCTCTCTTCTCCTTTCGCAACACAATAGCCAGCCATGCCTTCATCTCTTACATGTGGCTTAAGACCCAAGCTGGCAACCCGCCTCATCAAGTTTCCCAAGGCTAGGAGGAACAGTAGTTACACCCTGGCTTTTGAAGCCAGAGTGCCCTTGCCTTCCAAAAAGCTATGTATTCACTGGTGTAGGGAAGAGATAGGCCAAACAGCAAAGACAGCAAACTCAGGGCTGCGATTTCTGTAGCAGGAGAGATGACAAGTCTTCACAATCACCTCTTTTTCATTTTCTTTGTCACTAGAGAGCAAGTTTTGTGCTTGTTAGACCCTCCTCTGCCACTGAGCCACACCCCTGCCCTAAATGGTATGTATGTATGTATATATGTATGTATGTATGGTATGTGCATAAGTGTATGTATGCATGTGCACCATGCGCATGCAATATCTGTGGAGTCCAGAAGAGGGTGTTAGATCCCCCTGGATCTGAAGTTACAGACAGTTTTGAGTTGCCATGTGGATTCTGGGAGCCAATCACAGATCTACTGTAACAGCAGTAATTGTTGTTTAACCACGGAGCCATCTCTTCAGCCCTGACAGGTTGATGGAAAAGGGGAAGAGGGTCCAACTCAGAGGCATTCCATCCTAACTGTTTTCTAAGGCTAGGTCCCTGACAAACTGTCTTCTGGTAATCTTGCTGTTACCACTATGAGGAGGTGCAATTATCCCCATTTCTACAGACAGCAAAAGTGAGCCACAGAGGGAGAAGCTCGGAATAGGAGTCTAACAGAGTGCAAGCCCCACAGTCACAAGCATCATCCACTGTGTTTTATGAGCATCTCAAAAGAAACTCTAGGGACACGCCCCATGAGAAGGCTTCTCAGAGAAGCAGTGACTCTGATGTCACTTTTTAAAAAAGGTGTTTTCGCAACAATCATAATTGTTTTACAGATGTTATTTGCATGCATTTTTATGCACAATGGGCTTCATTAAAGCATCTCTATCCATGTGTATACTTCAATCATACTCGCCCCCTCCCATTACCTCCTTCTGTCTTGCTCTCACTCCTGCTACTCCCCTATCTCTTCACACCCCAACCCACTGCTCCTTTCATGTCCTTTTCTTATGTGTGACCCAGTGATTTCATCAGTTTTTACAGGGCGGTGGGCACCGTACCATGGTGGGCCCAGCCTTGTTCAAGTCTTGTGCAGTCAATCTCATACATTTGAGATTTCAAGGCTGTGAGTTCAAGGTTGCATGCCTGGAAACCAGCGTGCAACACTGATATTACTCCTCCTTTTGGCTCTTATATTCTTTCCACTTTTTCTTCTCAGAGCCTTAGGGGGTGGAGTAAGATACAGACATCCATTTTATAGCTGAGTACTTGACAGTCATTTATTCTAAGTGCTTTGACCATTTATGGGTCTTCTGCTGTCACTGCTGACCTCTGCAAAACGAAGCTTCTCACACCAAAGCTGATAGCAGCGGCCACCTATGGGCATTGATATAGTTAAGTAGAAATGGATTAGATGGGTACATCATGTCCATTTAGCAAAACAGCAGCAGCAGCAGTTTCCATGCTATGGCTTCACCAGCCACAGACTTTTAGCCAGGTTTTCATACCAAGTGTGAATTCCCTCCTGTGAAGGGCGCTTCAAATCCATGCAAGAAATGCTTGCTTACCTCAGTTACAATTGCAGCTGCTGTGCCACTACACTCATTGTGTCTGGCTGGTTGGCCTTGTTGCATGCAGCGCCTATAGCTGAATAACACGGTTGATGTCAATGATCTCCCGGCAGCCTGCAGAGCATCTTCCAGCACCGTGAGGGCTATCTGGCAGGGAAAGAACTTCCAGTCCAGTTTTAGCATGATTTCTCTAGGTCTTGTGGCCAAGGCATATGGTGTCTTCAGCTGGAAGGTCTTACAATCTGGTTTTTAGGGGCAATCAAAGCAGTGTCAATTGCCTATATTGTTTTAAGGGGAACCAGGGGCTTCCCTGACTAACAGTTTGTAGGAGATAGCCTACTCCAGGCACTGGGATTTTTCATTTAATGAATTAAATGGCTTTTAGAGGCAGCTTTATCAGCCCATAAAGATTATCCCATGTTCTCTTCCTACCTCCCTCCTCTCATTAACTTATCAATGTCAGATTTCCTTTTGGCTTTATCATATATGTGCAGACCCAACCCCTATCCATCTGCCCCATTTTCCATCTCTAGTATCTTCACTTCCACTTTCGTTTTACAAGAATCCTTTTTCCTCTCCTGGCCCCTTTTCAGGTTCACTCATGCTAAAGTGATCTGTCTTGATGATGATGCAGTGGGGTTGTGTGAGAGTTTTTAAATCGGAAAGCTTGTGTTTCTCACTTCTGGGAAGTCTAATTCACAATATATCACTGCTAACTGTTCTCCGTTAATGGTGTTGTCAGATCACTACACTCTCTGTTCTCTGTGTTGAAAACAAAGTTGGCAACACAGGGAACAAATTGATAAAGGCAAGTTGCTCATGCAAAGGACTCAGAAAATAAGAATTCCAGAATAACTCACAGTTCAGATTGCTTCAAAAGTAGCTTTCAGCTCTATCACTTACTTAAAGAAACTGAAAATCGCCAGGTTTTCAGGTATGGTGGTTGCATACCCTCAATCCCAGCACTCAGGAGGCAGAGGCAAGTGGATCTCTTCCAGTGTGGTCTACAGAGTGAGTTCCGGGACAGCCAGGTCTGTGTAGAGTGACCCTGTCAAAAAAGTAAAAAATAAAACAGAAGAAAGAAAGGAAGCTGAAAATCTTAAACAGATTCATTAGAAATGGCTTGAAGACCCAGTGAAAGTCCTGAAAAAGACCTGAAGTTAAAACAGTAGTAAAAATAAAGTGGAGAAACTTTCTGTATTCATCCAAACTGATATCACCCAAACTACATGAAACTGGCATCATGCCCCTCCAGAAGGACATTTGGGGAAAATAAATTCTTTTTTTTATAGCTTTTATTTTTTATTTAGGTTAGAAACAATCTTGTTTCACATGTCAATCCCAGCTCCCTCTCCCTCCCCTCCTCCCCTGCCCTCCCTACCAGGTCCTCCAGCCCCCCCACCCAATCTCCACTCCAATCCCCAAGGAAGGGGAGGCCCTCCATGGTGGATCTCCAGTCACTGTCATTTCATCGAGGGCAGGGCCTAGGCCCTCCCCCAAGAGTCCCAGCTGAGAGAGCCTCCCATATGTGGCATGGGCACTCAAAGTCTATTTGTACACCAGGGAAAATACTACCCAAGGCCCCATAGATTACCTAGGCCTCCTCACTGACACCCACATTTAGGGGGTCTGGGTCAGTCCCATGTTTTCCACACAGTCATCAATCTGGAGTTCAAGAGCTCCCCCTTGTTCAGGTCAACTCTTTCTGTGGGTTAAACCAGCCCAGTCTTAACTCCTTTGCCCATCAGTTCTCTCTTTCTGACACTGGATTCCAGGAGTTCAGTTCAGTGTTTGTCTATGGGTATCTGCCTCTGCTTTCATCAGTCGCTGGATGAAGGTTCTGTTTCCTAGACTTTCTGGCAGTGGGATTGTATTCTGGCACTCCCCCGATTCATGTCTAAAATTCATAAATGAGTGAGTACATACGATGTTTCTTTTTTTGTGACTGGCTTACCTCACTCAGTATGGTTTCTTCTAGTGCCTTCCATTTGCCTGTAAAATTCAAGATTCCATTGTTTTTGTTTTTTTTCCACTGCATAGTGTAAATGTTGCTTGGCATCTAGGTTGCTTCCAGGTTCTGGCTGGAAAATAAAATTCTTTTGAGGACAATTGATAAAAGTACAGCATGGATTGGATAATAAGTAGCATTATAGTAATGTTAAATGTTCTGATTTTGACCATGATATATAATTATGGAGGGGAATGTTCTAGCTGTTAGGAAAAGCACACAAATATTGAATGGATATGATGTCAGACTTTAGAAAACAACTGATTTATTTATCTATACTTATGTAGAAAAAATGGGACTAAAATAAAAAAATTCTGGAACAAGAATGCACAGGGTTTCTTTATCTTATTCCAATAATATCTTTCCTTAAGATTGTATTGATATAAAATCCAAGGCTGTGAAAATGTCCTTTTTTTGTTTGTGTTTTTCAAGACAGAGTTTCTCTGTGTAACCACCCTGGCTGTCCTGGAACTTGGGTTGTAGACCAGGCTGTCCATGAACTCACAGAGATCTACCTGCTTCTGCCTCCCAAATGTGGGATGAAAGCCCAGCATAAAAAATGTTTAAAGTGACTATTTTGATAACTCACTATGGTTAATGGTTAGATAATCTGATGTTCTCATAACTGACATTGCATCTTCCAGGGTAGAGATGAGCGTTGTGTAACCAGGCTGATGTTTTGAGATCAAAGGCTGGATGGGGAAGAACAGAGAGCAAGAAAGGAGGCAGAGGCTAGATAAGGAGAGGCGCCAGCTCACAGGCCCTGACCTTCGAAAACTGAGCTGAAGGTTGCTAAGTATAGGGGTCTATGACACCAAGGGTGCAGTGTGAATCGAAGAGGGCAGGGGAAGTTGTGGAAAAGAGCTCTTATATTAAATGTGTGGCAGATATTATATTAAAAGTGTAGTAGTCAAACACACTTAAGGAAATGCTCAGCATCCTTAATCATCAGGGAAATGCAAATCAAAACAAATCTGAGATTCCATCTTACACAGATCAGAATGGATAAGATCAAAAACACCGATGACAGCTTATGCTGGAGGGGATGTGGAGAAAGGGGAACACTCCTCCATTACTGATGGGAGTGCAAACTTGTGGAAATCAATATGGTGATTTCTCAGAAAATTAGGTATCAACATACCTCAGACCCTGCAATACCACTTTTGGGCATATACATATCTAAAGGAGGCTCATTCACACCACAAGGGCATTTGATCAACAATGTTCATAGCAGCATTATTTTTAATAGACAGATCTTGGAAACAACATAGATACCCCTCAACCAAAGAATGGATAAAGAAAATGTGATAATTTACACAATGGAATTCTACTCAGCAGTAAGAAACAATGACATCCTAAAATTTGCAGGCATATGAACAGAACTAGGAAAAAACTATCCTGAGTGAGGTAACCCAGACCCAGAAAGACAAATACAGTATGTACTCACTCATAAGTGGATACCAGACATAAAGCAAAAGATACCCACCCTACAATCCACAACCCCAGAGAAGCTAGAACCCTTTTCCAGAAACAGATGGAAGCAGATGCAGAAATCCACAACTAACCATTGGGTCCAGTTCCTGGAGTACAATTGAAGTGACGGAGGAGTGATAATATGAACAAAGAAGTCAATATCATGATGGGAAAACCCACAGAATCAGCTGATCTGAGCTAGTGAGAGATCATTGACTTGGGTCTGACAAATGATGAACTTTCATAGACCAAGCTAGACTCCCTTAATATAGGTGACAGTGGTGCAGCTGGGACAACATATGATGTCACTGGCAATGGGTCCAAGATCTAACTCTAGTGCACAAACTGACTTAGTGGATCCCATTCTATGTGGAGAGATACCTTCTTAGCCTAGACACAAGGGTGTGTGAGGGGTGGGGAGGTGTCTTGGTCCTCCCTCAAAGAGATGATGGGACAGATTTAGTAGACTTCCTAGGGGAGGGCTTACCTTCTCCAAGGAGCAGATGAGAGGTGGGGGGGCAGTGGGGGTGACCAGGCGGAGAGGAGGGAGGAGGAACTAGGATTGGAATATAAAGATAAATTAATAAAATAACATAAAAAGAAAAAAAGTGTGGTGGTAGTTGTCATAAAAGAAGGAGGTGAAGGGGTTTAAGCTCATTTTAAAAGAGAACGCATCCAATGTGGTGACTGAGGCATGATAGGGAGGGAGTGGGGACCTGACATGCTGACTTTCATTGTCTTCCTAGGAGACTGTGTACATGATGGTACCACAAACTTAGAAGGGAATAGAGGAGGAAAAACAGTGGGGGCAGAGTGGTTGAGTAGGGTAAGCTGATTAGTTCAACTTAGAAAACGAGAAACCACATGCCAGTGGGTTTCTTTCAGAAATTCATGTTTCAAGGGAGCTGGAGAGATTGCTCAATGGTTTGGTGCACTTGTTCTTGTAGAGGACATGAGGTCAGCTCCCAGCACCTACATGGTGGCTCACAACCAGATTATTCCAATTCCAGGAGATCCAACAACCTCTTTTGACCTTCATGGGTACCAGGCATATGTACAGACACACAGTGAGAACAAAACCACTCATATACATAAAAGAAATCTCAATTAAAAATATGTTTCAGAGTTGGTGAAGTATGAAAATTTTGCTGGGGAGCTGCCTGTAGCCTTGGGACTGTACACTGAGGATCCCATCCCAGCAGTCCAGTCTACCAAGAGACTGCCAGCATCCTAGTCCCTTTCTCCATCCATTGGACGAGGTAAGCATGGGCCTGTTTCCAGTCCACTCAGAGCCATCCGGGGCCTGGGAACTGTGCATTGGGGATCGCATTCCGGTGGTCCAGTCCACCCAGAGACTGCCAAGGTCTCAGTACTAATCTCACATCCACCCATGGGAATAGGAGAGCCATCGGAGTATTGGGCCTGCTTGCACCCACTGGAAGGGAACCTTGGACCCATACCCACCAAGAGAGGAAGAGACTCCTCCTACACCCACTGGAAGAAGGGATGGGAAGAAGACAATATAAAAACACATTCAACAACAGAAAATCCAATATGACACCACCAGAGTCTGGGAACTCTACACCAGCAAGACCTGAACATTCCAACGCAGATGAAGCAGAAGAGAATGACCTAAAAAAAACTTCATGAAAATGATAGAGGCCCTCAAAGAGGATATGAGAAAATTCCTTAAAGAAATGGAAGAACAAACAAACCCCCAAAATACAAATCTCTTAAGGAAAGCCAAGAAAAAAACAATAAAAAAGATGAAGAAAACAGTTCAAGACCTGAAAACTGAAATAGAGACAATAAAGAAAACACAAACTGAGGGAATGTTGTAAGTAGAAAAGCTGGGTAAACAATCAAGGAACTACAGAATACAAGAGATGGAAGAGAGAATCTCAGGCGTTGAAGATACAGTAGGAGAAATAGATTCATTAACCAAAGAAAATCTTAAGTCCAACAAATTCCTAACAAAAAATATCCAGGAAATATGGGACACCATGAAAATACCAAACCTACGTGTGAAGGGAAACGAATCACACTAAGGATGCCAGGAAAAGGTAGTTGGATATTTATTAAGATAGGGAGAAGTGACTCACATGAAAAGCTGGGAAATGAGTCAGCGCTCTATGGTCTCCGAACCTTGGCCAGGATCCAAGAGAGAGCTTTTCCTTTCTTTTCCCCTTTATATCCCTCACCTTTCCCATGTCCCTCTGCCCACACCCAAAGGGTGTGGTCAGTACCTCAGGTACATGAGATCTCCCCTACAATTCCCATTTTAGTCTAAATGAAAGATTTAGACTTGATACAAAACTCAAACATATATAGCATATATACATAGATGATAAGCAAATTATAATCTACTTATATCCTATCCTAAATATATCTATCCCATCTAAACCCTAAACTTATCTGAAAGGGATGTCTAAGTCTGACACCTCCTTCTAATCCCAAACCTAAATAATTGAAAACTAACTCTAACAGGTGTAAACTATCTTGTAATATCAACAGCAGGGAAAGGGGGCATAGTAGTCTCAAAATTACTTCCTGTTGAGATGGGATGATGACAACCTCATGGGATTCTGTAGGAAGAAAATGTTAATGCAGTGGAAGTCTAAAGTATACTAACTACAACACTTTTGCTCAGTCTCTGTTTGGCAGGAGATGCTTGATTGAAGTTCTTGATTGAAGTTTTAATGCTGATTGAAGTTCTTGTCTGAGGCTCTGGACAGATTGTAGGAGGTGTACCATGTCAGTTTATTGGTCCAGAGTTGTGTAGAACAATGCATTTAGTCCCAAACCAGTTCCAGGATGGTACTTATTAGGTGGAGTTGATGATGTGGGGCCCCATTTTCTTTTCAAAGTTTTTGAAGATTGTTGTTAGGAAATTTCTTGCTCTCTGTGGAACACTCAAACATGAATGTCAACAGAGAAATTTTTAACTTTTATATGTATGCATACTGGGAAAGGCAACAAACAGTAAGGAAGATGATAAGTATGAGGAAAATCAAACTTTCAGAGAAAGAACAGAGTATAAACAGATGACAGTCTCTAGGTTTTGTTTTCTTCTGTCTTACATCAATTAGCCCCTTGATATAATACAGACACTTTGAATTTTATTTTGTAAACACAATTGGATTTAGAGGAGGAGAGTCAAATCCAACTCCAAAGCCAGCTTTGGTTTAAGTGAATTGGGACCAAAAGAGCATTAAGAAGCAAAGAGAAACACATATTTAAGTGTAAGTTTAAGAGAATTAGACATTGATACCAAACATTAGATTCTTGTTTGTTTGATGGTCCTTTGGGTAGCTATCCTCTCTTTTTTAGGTATCTATACGTTTAGTATTTTTCGCTGTTTGGAGATGGGTCTTCCTGTGAAGACAAAAACAAAACACTTCTCTTTCCCTTAATGAGGTCTCCTTACACATAGTAGAATAAGACTTTGTGGATGAACTGTCATCTTTCCTCCTCCCAAGGTTTCTCCTGTTCGTATAGAATATTGACCATTTTGATGGAATCCAAAGCTTCTCTTCTCCTGTGGAAACAAAGGCGAAAACCCTTCCCCAATGTAACACATATCCTGGTTTTCAAACTGAG